CCAAGTAGAGTAGAAAGCTTTTAAAATTATTGTACAAACTTTAAGTGCATGGTCTATCAAAAATTCAGACAACGTGACTCGATCGTAGAAGGAATCATTTGAGGATTCTGATCCAGAACATCCATTGATTATAAGAGACTGTCTAAAGCTGGGAACACTCTACAGAATCCAGCTAAAGGCTGATAGAAGGGTAATAAGGGTTTCAACAAGACGAGAGGTGAAGAAGGGGCCAAGCTTTGTCAGTTGACAGAGATACACCATGTAAGAACCAAACAATCTTCCCTTGTGGTCCTAACCTTAAGAAACGACCAAACGAACAGCTCTCGCAACATCACGCGAGCGATTCTGCAGGTAATTGCGAAATCCAGCGCAATTTCACAGGACAGATTGAAATAGTAGGCTCTGCTGCTATTTACCTTTGGACCCCGGATCTTGCAAAACCATTTTCAACGAGCAGACCGTACGAAGCCCGCAATTGAGTGACAAGCCCCGATCTTGTAAGACAATAGTAGCAATGCTTGCACATTCTTGAAGAAGACTCATCAGATCCTCCAAAACTACTCACGCGTTGGCTGCCTCACCAGTCATGAAAGGGAGGATGATGGCATCATAGATACCAACCCATCCAGCACCAGCGCCTTTCATAACACCGCTGCAAGAATTTGAGAAATCCCAAGTTTCTATTCCACGAGCCGCGCCACATTGAAAGTCTAATCGAGCGAACAAGTTACACAGTATTCCTTCCTCCTCCGCAATTGGGCGCAATCATTCCATTCTCTCCTCTCCTCTCCTCTCCTCTTCCCCTCCCCCAAAAAGGCGAAACCATGTCAAAACCCCAACCTCAACCCCAAGCCGAACCACCAGACCTCACCCCAGCCTACCGCACCTTCCAACACTACACCGCGCTCGGCTTCCTCTTGGGCGCACCCGTCCTCGTCGCCCTCCCACCCCGCAAACTCGACTTCTACACCTTCGCCCTCGGCTCGAGCTGGGCACTCGAGGAGGAGGAGGAGGAGGAGGAGGAGGAGGAGGAGGAGGAGGAGGAGGAGGAGGAGGAGGAGGAGGAGGAGGAGGAGGAGGAGGAGGAGGAGGAGGAGGAGGAGGAGGAGGAGGAGGAGGAGGAGGAGGAGGAGGAGGAGGAGGAGGAGGAGGAGGAGGAGGAGGAGGAGGAGGAGGAGGAGGAGGAGGAGGAGGAGGAGGAGAGTGGAGATGGGAGGCCGTTATCTGGGATAAAGAAAGGTTTGGAGAAGGTGTGGATGGGGAATGAGAAGCCGGGATGGAAGGAGCGGCGGCTGGCGGAGGAGCAGGAGAAGATTTCTCAGGGGGAGGGGTATGGAGGCATGATTATGGATCAGATTTGGGAGGTTTGGAATTGGGGGAAGGAAAGGGGGGAAGAATTGGAAAGGAAGGATGAGGATGTGGTGAGGGACAGAAGGAGGAGGGAGGAGTTCCCCGTGATTGGGAAGGATGCGGGATGAAGCTCATAAGGGTATGTTAATGGATATCAGTTATCATATTCCGGTGCACATCGCGAATGCATAACGAGAATTGGGTCATATCTTCATCCAAGTGATCACAAGACAGAGTGGAATGATAGCACCAGTGAGCTCCCAAACGTTCTTTTATGCCCAAAAGGACCTTATAAAAACTGCGCCTATGGCGGCGCTACCTGGTATCACCAATACCCCCACAAGCCCAACCACCTTAGTCCTGCTTCAAACGTTTGGCTTCATTCTCATCTGCCTCCAGCTCCCTCTCCACGGTCTCATGTACCCTCTTCTCGTGCTCATCCTCCCCTCTCTCACAGCGAAGGCCCTGGTCCTCGTCCGCACGATGATTCCTCTCTACTTCCTCCCTTTCAATCGCTTCTTCAGCAAAATCGCGAACATTGATGCCCTCCTGGGCAAGCTCTGCTTTCTTTTCCATGCTTTCTGTGGTGACTCTATATTTTAGTGGAAGATGGTGAGTTGCTTGGGAGAACGGCAGGGCGGTCACTGGGTGTAAACGATTCGACCATGTTGGAATTTTTTGGTGGTTTATGTAACAGTGTTGAGGTGCCTCGTGAAGTATTTCCTGTGGACGCTGGTCGACTTCTGTGGGCCAAACTGGATGAGGATGTTGCCCGTTTGGGTGGAAGGCTGTCAGGATGCAAGATATTGAGGAGGAAAATCCAAGTTCTCTTTGCAAGATGTGATAGTCGACACGGTTTGTGGTGGATCTTTCTCTTGGTATGAGATTTCGGTGACAGAATGGCTGGAGAGGAAGTTGTTGACGGAGATAATTTTGTGTGCTTCATCTAAGCTGGCGCAAGTAGTGAAGAGGAAACATCCACCTAGAATCCAAGAAGATCGGTCTCCATACAAAAGTGACTGAAGCGAGTGGAAGCAAACACCGCAAGCATTCAACAAATTTGGCACGGTGTTTGAGTAAACACCTACTGTGTCCAGGTCAACTCACGTTATGGGTGCAGTGGCCCATCCAACCATCTCATGAAGTTGCACCTGCTCTATAGGTCCCCTTAATATTGTAAAGCCCCACCCGGAAATTGATAGCACAGAATACATGCAAAGCAAAGTCTGATATTGATCGGGCTTGTTGGGTGGCCTGGTGTATTGTATGGGATGGGGTTTGCCGGAATAGAAAGATGTGTCACGTACATTTGCCCAAAGAAATGTGGTCGTTACATGGACTGACGGAGACGAAGTTAAGACTCTGCCCTTTTGTTGAAGGAGCATGATGACATCGATCGCAGTAACATGAAATAGCCTTGCACACCTCCGGTGTCCACGAAGGAAGTTTGACCTAGCCCGAAGTGGTTGTATCCTTCTTCTTTTTCCTGGGCTTCACATTCTCAGTTTCCGCAAGGCCTGCACAATCTTCTCCATTTATAGTAGCCTTTTGCTTCTTTTTCTTCTTGTCTTTCTTGGATTCTTTCTCAGCATCGGCCTTGATTGATAGCTCTGCCGTATCAGTTTGCTCACTCTGGTCTAATTTGCGCATTTTCTTCTTAGGCTTCTCGATTGACGTTGATGATGTTCCGTCAGGCGCACCTGCCGGTATTGTAGGAGTCTCGCCTTGCGCGATCTCCGATGAATCTCCACTATACCGCTTTCGCTTCTTTTCCTCCTTGCGCTTCCGTTTCTCCTCTTTTGCCTTCAGACGAGCCTCTACCTCTGCAGAAATATCTTCCTCTTGCACTGCTGGTTCGGGTATGACGGCAGCAGGAGTCTCACTGGTGATCATCTTCGCCTTCTTATGCTTCCGTGGCTCAAAGCTGTTGTTGCTGGCCGCCTCACCCTCCTGCTCCTCCTTGAACGAAACTCGTCGTTTAGCTTTGTCATTGGCTTTATTCTTCTGCTTCTGCATCTCGCCAAGATCTGCCACCACACTCGGTTTCGAATCGATCACGAAGTACTGCGGCTCGCCTGTGGACAGCTCGACTCCTTCCATCGGCTCGCCTCCTTGGCCTTGGCTTCTCATGCTAGGTGCGCTTGTGGAAGAGACGGAACCAGCCAGGGTCTCAGGTTCCTGACTTAGTAGTCGTGGTTTCTTGTTCTGTCCGACCACATACTGTGGTCCGTTGGGATCAAGCTGCAAATCGACGCCTTTGCGCTTAAGCTCCGCAGCACGCTCACCGTACTCCTGGGCAGCTTCACCATAGATATGGTCTGCAGGAGAATACCCTGGATACATGGATGCAGAAGAAGCACCAAGTGGTACTTTGTCAATGTTGTCTTTAGGTGGTACCTGAAGTGATACCTCTATCAGTTGGTGTAGCTACTGGTGAATTGCAACGGCCGATACATGTAGAAAGATTGAGGTCTAGTTTGATCAAATGACGGTGTGAGACTCACAAAGTTGTAGGTGGCTTCTTTGAACATTCTGATCATTTGGTGGGTTCGATCAACACAAGCTTTTGCAGTATCGTAATTGCCTGTTCCCTCCACACAATGCTTCCGTACCATGTCCATCATTTTAAGGTGCCCGGTAAGAACGGATTGATGGTGCTTGAAAAGCTGCAGATGATATCAGCGCTGTATCATGCGAAGCTGCAGGTGGAAGACCACGGACCTCTGGCCAAGGGATATGTCGCGCAGGTCGTGGGCCTCTGCCAGTCCACGGTTTCGAAGGTCTATGCTGCCCACCCACTTTGGTATTAGAGCCGGAAACCTTTTCCATCCTGCTCAACTGGTCACGCAATCAATCTGGCGAAGATGATGAGAAAGTGGAAAGGGTTCAATTGGTGTTGTGTGGGAAGCAAACTCGGCGAAACTTTTTCTCAGAGGTCATTTAAGCTTTATGATTTAGTGTCTGATCAGAGGCCAAGACTATAATAGACTAGGCTGTCTTTGGCCAAAGTGCCCAGCTACTAGCGTATATCAAGGCTGACATCATCAAGAGTAGGAAATATGGGACCACACCCTATGCAATCGTTGTTGCCAATATACGGCTTCATCTACCTGCTGAAGACGGTGTAATCACTGCAGAAGTGAAGCAGGTTCGATAAGAAGGCAGACGCGGGTTATCATTGCGTTCTCGACTTCAGCAATCTCCATATCCTCGAGAAATCTGGCACTCAACCTAAGCTGACCCAGGAGGATGTTCTGTGATTGCGCTGCCGGTATACTCCAGGGTTAATGGGGGGCCAACAGCCTCGTGCCTGATTGCTCGGTTGTGCTTGGTTCTCATTGACGTGTCCGAAGTAATGAGGACGTTACAACACACATTGTCGATTAATGACCCAAGGTCGCGTTTGGAGGAAGAACTTCGGATGTTGTTCTCCCCTACAAGGCTCATCGACAGATAAACTCGCTTGGCATGGGCCAGAAGAACTATGCAAAGGCTACAAGGGGATGTTACCAATGTTCATCCTTTCTCGGATGCAGGACTGGGTGAGGGATTCCTAGGTGACCTCCGTGAAGTCGCGTCAAACTCTTCAATCTCATGCCCTAGCCGTCAGATATCTCGACTACAACCTTAGTCCTGCGACTTGAAAGAGGTATTTCCTGCTAGTAGGTGAATGGCAAAGCATGCCGTCGCTTGTGTGCTGCAGATCGTTATACAGAAACATTATTGTGAAAGTGTCCATACATGACGCCAACCATTGAGATTGCAGGTTGCCGTAAAGACATCCTGTCATCCGCAAGTTGGCAGCTTCGATATTGGACGCCATTGTCAAGGCTTTCCCTAAGATAGGGCAGACAATATCGGCTTTTCCAGGTGAAGAACAGGTATAGGGGCATAATGAGTTTGCCCAGATCGATTTCTCGTCGATGGCACAGTGACTTGGAGAATTGTTTATTTGCGTGGCTCCTTAGGATGCAACGGGATGGACTTAGCATGAACATGTCAGTGGCCCTCCCATTATGGATGGCGAAGAAGGTATCGTTTCCCCGGCATCCTCTTGTTGTCTTCTGTTGGGCAAGTCCATTGCTCTCTGTGCAATTTATGGTTGACATCGAAGAGTTGTGGGAAGAAGGCATGATACTGGGCACTTTCCTTTTGTTAGAACACCGCGCTTGCTTACTTGCTTACTTGCTTGTTTACATCCCAATCCGATCATTGAAAAAGCTGTTCGCCTTTGTCAATCTTCTTCTCCCTTCCTCTACCCACTCGTCACTTAGCATCCTCGTCAAACAGTTTTGCTCTTCTTCGCTGGTTAGCTGCCTCCCTCTTATCATCCGTCCAGCTCTACATCTTGCTCATTGTAAATCACTTTGCTTTGCTATCCGTCCGGATATCCATTGTACATTCGAAAGCCTGCCGATCGACAACAACTGCGGTCATAGCGGATCAGCTCTGTTTCTCTTCAAAGGTGAGCTCTGAACTGGTGACCAGTGTTGGATAACCTGTGTTGGTGGCTGTGTCCGATCTTCCATTTCCTCTACCGATCTTCTACCAACTCCTCATCACCTCAAGCTGCTTGTCGTTCCTACTACCTCGAAGCCCTGTCACTGTGTCACTCCCAGCCCCATCATTCTTCATTATAATGTTGCTGCAGACTTCACTCTCTGGCGGTTATGATGCTAACGAATATGGACAGCGCCGCAGAAGACTGTCGAACCTCAAGATGACCAACGTCGATCCTCTTCCCACCGAGAAACCTTCCTCTGTTCAGCCTGGCAGCATGTATCCCGGACATGCGCCTTATCAACGGTTCCACTATCCTGCTCCGGGCTACAATAACATCGGCAGCCAAGGCAAATACGCAACACACTATGGAGGCACTCAGCTGGCTGATGCTCTCACAGGCCTCAGTGTCTCTGGGCAAAGTCATATGGCTCCGGCTCCGGCTCCGGCTCCAGGTGTCAGGCCAGGTCAGAGCAACATGGACATCAACAGCCTCGCTCGTGCTCACGCATACGGCAATAACCCTCTCATGGTCCTTCCAAGTGGTCAAACTATTCCTCTTCAGTCGATCTATGGCCATGGTGCCACCTCTGCGGCCGATCAACCTTCCCAGCTGCAGTATGTCCCGACTGGCATGTTCCCCAACTTCGTCTCCAATACGAACATGATCGCCCCCTCTATGCCTGCCTATGGCTGGCCATACGGTCTGCAGAACGATGTTCCCAGTCTAGACGCTAACCGTCGCGGCTCTTGGTCTTCACATGACGAGAATGCGCCCGCCACACCTGGAATGACTGTAAACGCTGCCCAAGAATACTATGCCAATACTGCAAGCCTAGACCGTGGATCTACTGTCAGCTTTCCATATGCAACTCCATCTCCACCCTCCATCGTTCAGCCATATGTCGCCGGGCCTATGCAACCAATGAAATGTGCTGACAACAAGAATTACGAATCGGTCAACCTCGACATCTTGACGCAGCAGCCACCTGCCATTCCTCGAGCAGTTCCCGCGCTTTGGACCAATCAGGAAGACCTGAGCCTTGCCAAATGTCTTCAAAATCCCGAAGGCATCACCAACATCTACATCCGTGGGTTTTTGCCAGATGTTACGGACCAAGATGTCCATGACTACGCTGCTCGGTTTGGAGATATCGAATCGTGCAAGGCCATTGTTGACATGGACACTGGAAAGTGCAAGGGGTATTTGACCCCAATCGTGTTCCTGGCAGCATTGACCTTTGCCAGGTTCGGTTTCGTCAAGTACTACTCCCCAGCAAGTGCGGAGAACTGCATCCGCGGGTTCTTCCATTTGGGCTACCAGGCCAGTTATGCACAGGTATGCTGCTCAGCATGGTACGACCACAACCGTTCTGACCTATTTACAGAAGTCCCGCAACTCTCGCTTGAAGGATCTTGAAGATCGATCGTCTGCCAATATCTACTGCACTGGCGTTCCAATCAAATGGAATGAGGCTGTATGTTCGATCGCGTCGAACTCAATTGCAACTTGTTGACAAGTACTTAGGACCTGGCGCACCACTTCAAACCTTATCATGCTATCTCGACAAAGATCTGCCGCGAGCCCGACACCGGCATATGCAAGGAGGTTGGCTTTGCTCGGTAAGTCAGCGGCCCTAGTGATGCTCGTCACGACTGACCCTGTCAGTTTCGAGAACCGCGATGTTGCCGAACAGGTGATCAAAGACTTTCACAACGTCACCAACGAGGTTGATGGCGTCAAGCTCTGTCTACGCTTTGCCGACACTAAAGCACAGAAGCAGTTGAAGCAGACCAGTCAGGAGAAGCGCAACTGGAGAGCTCACGAATACAAATACTCTGTCGAGCATACTCCGTCGCCTGATATGCCACGGTTCTCACAGGTCAACGGCATTAGCCCAGCATCTCACCTCACTTACCAATCTCCGGCTGGAGGAAGCACAACATTTACTCCTGCAACGTCCGTCTCCCCACCGTAAGTCCACCTGCCTTGCAAGATGTGGTGGACTCTGCTGACGTCTTCTTTCCATAGTGAATTGGCGGGGTCCAACAAGGTCATGGGCAACGTCAAGTCAACTGCTTGGCCGATCCAAGGCGGACTTGCATCCATTAATAGCACGCCGATCTACCACCCTCCACATCGCATTAATACGGCACGTAATGCATTTACCGATCATCTGCCCATCAAGACGAACATGCAGGTCGTGCAACCAGTCGAACCCACCAACAAGTCGAAAACTCCCAGCCCACAGAAGCCCACCGGCAATGTCGAGAACATCTCTCCGGCTCGTACGCAGAATGAGAATCCTGTGGTCATGGCCTAGTCCAGCGACCTGGAGTACATCAAGAGACATTGTATCCATGACTGTCCTCGGCGTTGTCGTCCTCAGCTTCGGACCCCTTGATCTGAGCCAAGGGGCCACTATAGATCATCATGTTCTTACTTCTTGTACCTTTTTTGTCCTTTACTGGCTCGGACATGTATTCCGACGGAATATCCTTGGTGTCTTGATTCCTGACCACATGATTTCCGATGGTCTCGGGAGCACTCTATGACAGATCAACAACAGACCATACTTTGGTATCACAGGACATCTGTACCATCACAGCAATTCGTTGAGATATGGTGGGAAACCTCATGTATGGCCTGGTGTCGGCTATCTGGGTGTGGTTGACAGCACTAGATCGTGTTTACTGCATAGTGAAGGGGGGCGCAGAGCTTTCAGCCAATCGTTAATACTTCAGTCGGAGGTTCGCGATTTTCACTCCTTATTCTTGCTCTATTCAGTGTGCACATCCCCTCGTATGCTCTCCCGTCTATGTGCTAATCTGCAATATTCCTCAGATGCATGAATTCTATGTGTGACAATTGATCAAATATGTAAAACCAGCTCGCGGATCGCCATCCCATCGTCATCCAAAGTAGGAGACCGCCACAAACCCCCTTTCATCCTCGCCCCAGCCTCTCGTCCCCATCCTCCGTCAACTGATAAGCCGGCCTATATCTCTCCCTCCCATCCTCATCCACATACCTCAACCTGGGATTCCTCACCGTATCCCCCACCCCGCCCAGCGACGTATACCCCTCATCATACATCTCACAATACTCCAACGGCTTTCCGTCCGCTTCTTTGAGTTCCTCTGCGCGCAAGAACAACCAGATCTCGCTCAATCGCCAGTCGATGACGGGGGGGATGCGCATAAAGTCCGGCCAGCCGTGGTCGGTGCGGTCGAAGTGTGTCAGGTTCGAGCCGTGAGGGTCGGTGCGGCGGGTGCCGACGAAGATTGCGAGGATCTTGTTTGGGAGCGGCCGGGTTGAGCTGGCATCATTGGAAGAACTGGCGGAGAGGTAGGTGGCGAATGCGTCGCGGATGGTTACGCGTTTTGTTGCGTCTACGGGGGGAGGAGGGGTTGAGGGGAGGGGAGGGTCGGAATGGGACAAGGGCGAAGGTTTGAGCGATTGGTGCACGTGCGTGTGTGAGTGCTGGCCTGGGCGCGGGTTGGTGCGGATGGTGCAGAGGTCGAGGTGGTAGCGCTGAGAGGAGGTGGTTACGAAATTGTCCATGGCGGGGAAGGGGTCGGGGGATTGGGCGTAGATTGCTGGGATCGAGGTGGGGAATGGAATTGATGGGGGCGGAGTGGAGGTGGTTGTCATGTTGTTGTTGTTGTTGTTGCTGCTGGCGGTAAGCTTTGCAGAAGGTCTGAAGTGACTATATAGCGAGTAGAGGTAGAGGATGAGAAGGACGAGGCAGTCCTTGCCGCCGTTGTAGGAGAGGGAGAGACTTGAGAATCTGGGGGCAGCTTGTCAGTTCACATGTCAGGAATAACGGCTGCAAGGTCCGGAGAGGAAGTTTTCACGCACTCGTAGTCGGTCAACGCCTTTTCGATCACGCCGATTGATATACGAACCTGTTCTTGAACCCTTCGTGTCGAGTCCGAGTCGGGGGTCTTGTTCAAGAACGCGCTGACTCGTCCGTGGAGGTCGGCGCATACTGCCTCGAGGCTGGGGACGGATGCTGGAGCGGTGGTGGAAGAGGGCGATGCATCTTCTTCTCCATCGATCTGCGGCCGAGAGCCCGGGCCGTTGATCATGGGGGCATTGGGCGGCAGAGATGCATCATCGGACATTGCGACACGGAGATGTGACGGTGGTGTAGTTGGGGGTGCGAATACGACTGCGGGCTGAAGGCATACATATGTAAAATTGGGGCGGAGACAATTCCGCTGCGAATGATGGCTGCTGAGGTTGGGAGCACATTACACGGCACATGTAAGATTGAGTAGTTATTATGACTTGGTAGGGATCCTATCAGCTAGCCAGCAGAGCTCTCAGGATCTGCGGAGTCATGGAGTCTTGAATGAAGCAATTGATGCCCCCAGTACGCCGTTGTCGGCCTCCTCTTTTATGCTCACGATATCGCACAGTATGCGTCCACTATCCCTATCCCTATCCCAGTACCTTCAGTTTCTTCTTTTTACCCTCCTTTCCTTCTTTCTTCGCTCCCTTTTGCCAATCCCGCCAGCTACCAATGCGTTCTTCTCTGGTATCCTCCCATGACTTCTCATGGTCCCGTTTTCTCTTCCTCTGCTCGATCTCCTCATCTTCCTTACGCTTCTCACGACCTTCCTCCTGCATCTTGGCCTTCATCTGCTTCCTCCGGCGAGCCTCAGCGTCTACCAAAACCTCGACCGTCTTCTGTCTCCATTCCTTCTTGAAGCTCTCTGTCTTCAACTCCGGACTGTCGAGATTGTACTTGTGCTTCCTGATCAGGATGCCGCGGGCATCGGCAATACATTCATCCAGCTGTGCTCGAGCTTTCTCGTCCAGAAGTGTGGACTGAGCTTTATTGAGCCGGTCAAACGCGTCTGGAGCAGAAGGGTTCGTGGTCTTGTCCGGATGGATCAGAAGCGACTTTTTTCTATATGCGACTTTGATGTCCGAGTCAGGCACGCCAGGTTGGAGGTCTAGAACGGCATAGCTGTAGTGCGGTTAGAAAGCTGAATATCAGGAAAGTAGAGCAGCAGACTTACGCATCGAGCCGGAAAGCCTTGATGATGCGATTGATTTCTGCATCCTTCGACCGAGGTCAGCACCACCGTGTATCCAACCGGGGGAAGACGTCGAGCTAGGGGCATACCTTGTCGTACTCTTTCGCCTCCTTTTCGAGCGCATTGAGCGCATCGAGCTCGTCATTAGCCATTTTTGAGGTCCGATGTTGAGCTTACCGTTGGTCTGCGATCCTTCTAGAGGTTGCGAGGGTTCAGATCTTGCACTATACGAAGAGAGATTGTGGGAGATAGCTTCATCAGTGGGTGAGAAGTGGCCGAATTGTGAGATATCACTCTGCCCGGGGCTGTTCTGTTCCTACCCGGGGGGTTCTTCCAGGGTGTAGAGGCCAAGCCTTTCACCACCAGTAGGGCCAGGGCCGAGCCGACAAAAGTCCGGCCACGTGATGTAAATCTTGGCATTAAGATTGAGTCGGCCAAAATTTGGGCCTTGAAAGCATTCCCCCAATCGTAGATCAAGGCTCAATGGATGAGCAGTGATCGTTCCTCGCTGAGATGGCCCCTTCGAGACATCGAGGCTCGAGGTCGGTGCGCACACACCCGAAAACTCTGAAGAGGAAACGAGGCGAGGATACCGATAACGTGGACGAATTGTCCAAAAGAGTAGCGGACTTGGAGTTAAGACCAGCTACCGCGCCAATCCTGTTTGCTGAGCTGCCTCTCTCCCAAGCTACTCAATCCGGCCTGTCCAAGTCTCACTTCAAGACCCTGACTACAATCCAATCTCGAGCGATTCCTGCTGCTTTGAAATCAAGCGACATACTCGGCGCTGCCCAAACGGGTTCGGGAAAAACCCTTGCCTTCTTGATACCGGTCCTGGAGAACCTGTATCGAAGACGATGGACCGAATACGACGGCCTCGGTGCGTTGATCCTGTCTCCGACCCGAGAGCTGGCAATTCAGATTTTCGAGGTCCTGCGAAAAGTGGGCAGGAACCACACCTTCTCTGCTGGTCTCGTCATAGGGGGAAAGCCGCTTCGGGAGGAACGCGAGCGACTTGGTCGGATGAACATCCTCGTTGCAACCCCTGGAAGAATGCTGCAGCACATGGACCAGACGGCGGAGTTTGAGATTGGGAATCTGCAAATGCTGGTACTCGATGAGGCAGACAGGATCATGGACATGGGCTTTCAGGGAACTGTCGATGCGATCGTGGAACACTTGCCGAAAGAACGACAAACCTTGCTATTCAGTGCTACCCAGACGAAAAAGGTTTCAGACCTGGCCCGATTGAGCTTGAGAGAGCCAGAATTTGTGTCTGCCCACGAGGGAGCTGAGAGCGCAACGCCTAGTACGCTTCAGCAGAATTATGTGGTGACACCACTGCCGGAGAAGCTCGACACGCTCTGGAGCTTCATCCGAGCCAATTTGAAAAAAAAGATACTCGTCTTCTTGAGCTCGGGAAAGCAGGTCAGGTTTCTCTACGAAGCACTACGACATCTTCAGCCAGGATTACCTCTGCTGCATCTTCATGGACGACAAAGGCAGGCTGCTAGATTAGATATTACCACACGTTTCTCGTCTAGCAAGAATGCTTGTCTCCTTGCAACAGATGTTGCTGCAAGGGGCCTGGACTTCCCAGCTGTTGACTGGGTGGTTCAAGTAGACTGCCCCGAGGATGCCGATACCTACATCCACCGGGTGGGACGTACGGCAAGGTACGAGCACAAAGGACGTGCAGTGATGTTCTTGGACCCTAGCGAAGAGGAAGGTATGTTGAAAGCGCTTGAGAGGAAGAAGGTCGCCATCGAGAAGATCAATGTCAGGCAGAAAAAGATGCAAAACACGATCAAGAACCAGCTACAAAATATGTGCTTCAAGGATCCCGAGTTGAAGTATCTAGGTCAGAAGTGCTTTGTATCCTATGTTCGATCCATCCATATCCAGAGAGACAAGGATATTTTCAAAATTAAAGAGTTGGATCTCGAGAGTTATGCAGCCAGTCTAGGACTTCCGGGTACGCCTAATGTCAAGTTTGTGAAAGGAGAAGACGCCAAAGCCAGGAAGAATGCACCGAGGCAGCTGCTTGAGTTTTCAAGTGGAAGCGAGGGTGATGAGGAAGCAAGAAGGAAAGACACAGCAAAGCCGACTGTCAGGACAAAGTATGACCGTATGTTCGAGAGAAGGAACCAGGACGTGCTGGCAGACCACTACAAGAAGATGATTGATGACAAAGAGAACTTGAACGGCGCAGAAAGTGGTGGAAATCATTATCATGACACTGCCGATGCAGATGAAGACGACGATTTCTTGGCCGTCAAGAGACGTTTTGACGCAGGCGACCATGCTCTGGGCCAGGAAGCCTCGTCCTCCACTGGCTCCGACAGCTCCGACAGTGAAAACACCATTCCCACCAAGAAACCGCTCCGAACCACCAACTCGAATCCCACGCCACCCGTCAAGAAAGCTCTCCACCTCTCCTCTAACACCGAGCCTCTAATAATCGACTCCAACCGCCGCGCAAAACTCCTCAAATCCAAAAAAGCCCTCCTCAAATACAAGGGCCACGGCTCACATCTGCACTTCGATTCCGAAGGTCTCAACCCCCACGAAGCGGAATACTACGAACGAGAAGACGAGTTCCGGAAGAAGGGGTTGCCGGAGGAACAGAGGGAGGTGTTCTTGCGAGAAGAGAGGGAGAGAGCTAGGGAGGCCGACGTAAGAGATAAGGAAGTGGAGAGGAGAAAGAGGAGGGAGAAAAAGGAGAAGAGGAAGGGGAGGGAGAGGGAGGACGGGCACTTGGTGTTGGGGGCTGAAGAGGGGGTTGCTGTGTTGGCGCCGTATGAGGAAGAGGAAGAGGAAGGAGGAGCGGAGGAGGGCCCAGTGTTGGCTGGGAATGGCGCTGGTACGGAGAAGAGACGAAAGAAATGGTTTGAGGATCCCTCTTCGGGAGAGGACGACGATAAGCGTGAGCGGGAGCGGCAGGGAAACTCGAAGGCCAAGCGCAGGAAGAAGGGGGCTGAGGCTAACCTACGTGGGCAAGAGCGAGAGCAAGAGCAAGTGCCGCAGACAGTGGAGGAGCTGGAGGCGATGGCGCAGGGGCTGCTGCGTAGCTGATTTCCGCGTCATCAGATCCAGTATCCCGACCAGACTGCCTCTAGCTAGCCCATCCCCTCATGCATCCAAGTCAAAATAAACTGTTCCCCATGTCCTGGCGGTCACGAGAGCGGTTCTGCCTTGCTTCCCTGCCTGCCTCACTTCAGGCATCAATATCGAAGGAGAGCAGTAAAATAATGGCATGGCATGGCATGGCGGGGCGGGGCGGGGATATTCTATCTTTAAAAAAAACACACACATGGAATTAGGCCGGCATGCCCTTTTCTTCTACATCGTCTCAGAACGGTTCCAAGGTTCTCAAGGGGGGAAAAAAACAAAAACACCTCCTTTCCTCCCCAACTTTTTTCTTTCCAAATCTCCCCTTCCAACAAGAAGATCGCCCTCCAAAGTTGTTTTTTCCCCCTACCTACCAAAAGAAACAGTGTGCAAAAAGAACCCAAGAAAAGTTTGCTATCCAGATTAGATGTAGATGATAGATGAATGAAAAATTCATGCGCGTTTCTTATCCCCTCCATCAACATTGCACGGCTATAAATCCTTGTTACCCTACCCCCCAACACAAAATTAATGGTTCGGAAGCAGATGGACTGTGACGATGACGGATGACGGATGCCGGATGCCGGCAGCGGGGGGCGCCGATCAGTACATAGCGACACGAATCGTGGCTCAACCATCTATGGTGAAAAGGGACGGACGGACGGGGGGGGGGACGTGTCGTAACAGCCAGGAAGCGAGCGGTTCCTGCGACTCGGTCGCGGGATCATGGGATGCAAACCAAAGGTGGGGGATCGGCGGTTCATTGAGGAACAAGATGGGTCCCCTTGGCGTCTTCTCTCGTCGTCGTCGGCTCCTCTAAACCATCTCAAACGGAAAACGTCAGCCTCGCTGAAAATGACATCCGCCTCGCCTCGCGAGGACTGCATACGAAAAATATTTTTGGATGGTCATTTATCGCACAGTTCAGCGCCGGGTCTGGTAGGTGCCCAGCTTCAAGGACCCCCTCGGCCCTCAGAACAGATCCGGCTGGAGGGTGGCGTTGGTGAAATTATTATACACGACGCCGGTGCCGCTGAGATCGGAGCCGGCGGAATTGATCAGGATGCCCGGCGCGGCCATAAAGTAGGCGTAACGCGCGACATCCGGCTGCTGGTCCATCCACGGCATGACCTGGCGGAGGAAGGCCTGCAGCTCGGCCTGGGTGTAGGGGTTTTCGTTGTTGAGGGCGAACTCGGTGACCCAGATGGGGCGGCCCTGGGCGATGGCTCGGGTCTGGTTGACAAAGTACTCGAAGTAGGAGGCGCCGGCGAACTTGTTCGAGTACCAGTGGATGTTGATGAAGTCGACGGTGCAGCCGGTGCAGTTGCCCAGGAACCATTCCAGGTAGGTGAGGCCGGAGGGCGAGCCGGCGTTGGTGACGGCGGGTGCGCCTAGTTGTGCTCGACCCGCGAACGGTTGCATGTACTGCAGGTACGTGCTGACTGATGCGTTGACACTCATGCAGGCGGAGCCATCGTAACAAACGTCTGGTTCGTTGAATGACATGAGAGCAGGCGTGCCTGCGTTGATGGCGCTTTGGGCTGCTGTGGGCCAGGCATCGAGCAAGCCCGGAGAGTTGCTGTATAGGAGTGGAATATGTTGTATAGCTGGATTGTAGCCGCATGTTGTTTGCCCATTAGGACATGCTTGATAGTACCAATTGTAGGCCCAGGAGACACGAGAGTTCTGGCCGGACAGGGAAAAGGGCATCGTCAGATTTGCCTGGTTGTAGCAAAGACCACGTTTGCCATTGTTGGGAACCGGTGTTGGACCTGTCGCTGAGGTGATGCTCAAGAAACTCGAGGTTTGGATGGTGGATGCAGAAAGGCTTGTGGACGAGCTAGTTGAAGTGCTTCGAAGAGAGCTAGTTAATGAGGTAGACGTTGAGGGGAGGCCGCTGGAGCTGGAGGTTGTACTCAAAGTAGTTGAGGAGCGATTGACAGAAGTAGAAGCACTTGAAGAACTAGAGGTAGGCGAGGAAGGTGGAGAGCTGCTAGAAGAGCTTCTAGCTGAGCTTGAGGACTGGCTGGGGCTACTGCTGCTTGGACTTTGAGTAGATACTGATGAGGATGATACAGTGGTGGAACTTGTCGCCGTGGATGTCCTCGAGGAAGACAATATTCCGGAAGTTCCTGATGCGCTTGAAAGTGACAAAGAGGAGGATCCGGAAAAGGCAGTGGAGCTGCTGCTCGCTGATGAAGAGGTGGCCAGGTTGGACGTGGAGCGTAAGGTCGATGTGGTTGATGTTGAGCCGGCGGGGCTAGATTGTGCTGGGTCTGGTCTCGAAGAAGTAAAGGTCGAAAGCCCTGAGTTGCTTGAGATACTTGCATCAGATGACGGCGTCGGGCTAGAAGCTATCGTCCGAGTGCTTGAACTCGCGGAAGTTGTAGTCGAAGTAATGTAGACAATTGTGTCTGGGCTGGTCGATTGTGGAGAATTCGCAGACAGTTGACTGGACAAGTACTCTGAAAGCTGACTGGAGTAGGAGTCAACTGCGCTGCTAAAAGCCGAAGAGGAGGAAGTCGCCGACGTGGTGATATAGACAATGGTATCTACACTGGTGGAGACAGGGGAGTTTTCCGACAGTTGGCTGGAAATGTAGTTGGAGAGCTGATCCGAAAACGGCGTGGCCGACGATGAGCTACTTGGGCGGCTCAGTATCGAACTCAAGATGATGGAATTGGTTGCAGCATAAGCAGATCTGACTCCGGCTTGGGCTCCTGCAAATTGGGCAATGCCATCAATGGACGAATACAGAGTACACGTTTCTCCCGTGAGGACAGCAGCTACGCAGTCGTCGGTGGTATCGCAGCTGGCGAGACACGCCTGAATGGAAGGTCGAATGGACCTCTTCTGCACCATGTCCACGTTGGTATTGTCGGCAATGACCTTGCCGCTGAAAGTCCGATCGCACTGGACTTGGTAGCTGGCACCATTCCCGTTCACATATCGCTGTCCCTGGCATCCCGGACAGATCGTAGCGCTAACGCATGTGCCTGTGGTGCTTGGCAAATTCGAGGAAATGCCTGTCTCGAGGGTATATGTTGAGATTGGACAAGTCACCACTGTTACCGTGGAAGTACGAGTATACCTAGCTAAGCAATGTCAGTCACTTGACGCTAGGAGTTGCGGCAGATCTTCCTTGCGACATGCCTTGACTGGCTACCTCATTCAGCAAGAGTGACTGCACGAAGAGCATCAAAAGAGGAAGCATGGTGGCAGACTGAACAGCATGAGCGTACACGTCACGAGGATGCCTTTCAATGGTCACAACTCGTGACGTGCCCGAGCCGATAGGTGGAGCACAAGGCCCTACACGGCGCTGTACGTGCGGATCCTGAGCCTTATGCTATTCCTTGGGTTGGCGTGAAAGAGCAGACGGTATGCGCCAAATGAACGGTAGAGAGCACCAAGGGGATGGACAAAACAACAGAAGAATTATCAAATGGACCAGCGAGATAGCATACTCCCAAAGGAGAGGCAGAGGCATCAGCCATGATTTGAGGAATGTAAACAGGTGACAGGTGAACACAGCACTGCTATGGAATGCTTGGCTCTATCAAGAGTCTTGTGTGGTGCCCAACATACTGGCTGCAAATCTGATTGAGGAATCATTGATTTTGACTCGAAGACACATTGGTTACCACAACAAAGGACGAAAACTGCTGTCTCTCGATCTGCGGCATGACCGTTCTCTCAGCTGCGTGTACCAGGAAGTGAACGGGAGCGGGTTGCTGGTTCATCGGACTGGGTCCCTTTTTGCGCTATCGCGCGATCTCACCGGCTGCCTTCCACACTTTGAAGACTAAAGAGCGGCGGCATCATTCAAAGGATACAGTCCATCTACCGTTGGCCAATTCTGCTGTTTCCTCGTCGGCAGCCTTGTCGAGCTGGAGCAAGTTGCAAGGTTTCGTCTCGCTGCGGTAAGTGCCATTACGAAATGACATTCTGACAGCCCTTGACGAAGATTCTGCCGCAGTATGGAGTCTGATATTGTCTCAAGCTCATTCTCTCGCTTGTATAGATGAAGACTGTTGACGTCCGCCCGTGGGTGGTTATCTGCGGCTCTTCGAATTGTCGCCTTCAGACGCCGACAACAGTCCTTGGCTGATATGTGCGAAATTGGTCCAGACAGAGATGGTTCTGCGAGGATTTAACCATACACATTATGCTCACGACGAATAGGCAACCTCAACACCCACGCTGCCTTTCCACCTCTTTTCCAATCCAGTACCGCCACTACACAGCCCTGACCCAGCCATTTGGTACCTTTGACTCGATGTAGCGGTTGGCGCTATATTAACACCAGCACTAACAAGCAGTTCCTTAACCCTTCCAGTCCACAATGCCCTGAAATTCCAATTGTCGTCCACTCTTAACCTGATTACACTCTCCTCAAGTTCCTCTTCCTTGTCCTTCTTCTGACGGAGAACTAGTTTCTGCTCATCATCCAGCCACTGCGCGGCCTTGTCCGTAGCCCAGTCTAACCCGTCAGACTTGCCTATCGTGATCCGAGGTCTGTGACGCTGGCGCCAAATTTCAGCACCAAGCACATATTCGCTTTCCCAGCTGTAGACGTTAAAGCCGAAGCGTGATGAGAGAGCTAGATTTGGGGTGGGCTTTATCGAATATGTGGAGGCTAGACTGCCTGTTAGAGGTGTGGCAATCAGTGTCATTGTGTAGGGAAATGAGGAATTCGCAGATGAGGCGAGAGTATTCGCTGTGGCGCTTGTGAAGGCTGCTGAAGTACCGGCAAGTGGCTTCCAGTTGGAGGCGGAAGAGGGAGACACAGAGGCTGCGGGTGGAAGAGTGGTGAATCGTAGGCCTGTGCTTAAGCCAATAACGGAGCTGAGAGGGCTGTAGTAGACTTCTGCGCCCGCAGAGAGGAGACTCGGCTTCGGTCGATATATCGAGGGTTCTGCTGGAATTGGCAGGTCGCTAAGACCTTGAGCGGGGTCTGCTCCAGGCTGGCTCAGGCGGCTCTGCTGGGCAGCAGGCTCTGTTGGGTATCCAAAATTCCACAAGCCTCGAAGGCCAAGTAGCGCTGAATCTGTCGACCCAAGCGCTTCCACTCTATATCGTCCCGTATCATGTTGTAAATGTGCCAGTAGCGAAGCTGGCGGAGGAGAAGAAGGGCCTGTGGTGGGCGAAGTCGTTGATTTTGAATTCACGGATAGACTAAAGAGGGTGCGAGGATTGATCCGACGGGTGTAAAGAGCAGTGAGAACACTAGGAGGCGGCAAAGCTAGTGTCGCATGAAGCAGTGTTGGCTTCCTTGCTCCATCTAAAGAGATGTATGGCTTGGGAAGGACGGGCGGGAGAGCGATATCGCGATAGCCACGGACAAGGCTGCGCAGCGGTATGGAAGGAGTGGCTGAAGGTATCCCATCGAGAGATACGTTGGAGTATAGATACGAAAGAGAACCGTCAATCACGCCGAGAGTGGAAAGGGTGTAAGATGTTGCGAAATGAGGAGTGGAGAGGGAGGAGACATTGAGGCTAAGGGAGGTCGGTGTAGAGAACGAAAGGAGCGCTGCACGGTCAGGTCAACACGAGTGCTGGACTAAACGGTATACACGGTATACCATCGGATGTAGCTGTCAAAGAGGAGTAGCTGTTGTCGCGGTTCCAGTGCGTGGCATCTCCGAAGGCGTCGAGGACATAATCCATGAACTTCAGCATTTTGAGATCATCACCATCTCAATAGCAGAGTCGATATGGCCCGCAACACATCACGGAAAGTATAGAAGTATAGCCACTTCCTCCGCACGCCGTCCGCAAAGCAAGCGAAGGTGGACCATCTTGTCCATGATCGAGGTACACGACTGGAATAATATCCAAGTCGGCCATCCATCAGCGCCAAGCTCTCCTTGCACTGGAAAAAAGTTGGAGCTCGCAGTGATCACGAGGAACACATCTACACATCTACGCATCTCACCTTCACATCCCGGCCTCCCCCTTCGTTCCTTCGAGCCTCAATCCAATAATATCTGCAGGCTATACACCCTCGAGAGCTACAGCTACAGAATGGTCAAGCTCAAGGAAGTAGAGGACGAGCATTTCGCCGAAAAGCCCGCTACGACAAAGGACGACGCGCTGCTGGAAAGCGACAATGATGACGACTATACAGACACAGGTATGAACTCCCAGTACGCCCACAGTCTCGGCATGGTCATGCGAAGATGGTGAAGAGCAGTCTGCCTATCAAACTACTTACTAACCACACATCGCTCCCAGACTCCGAGATTTCAGTAGCCTCGGACCTCGATGTGCCAACCTCAGAATCGCTCCTCGACCGAGTCGCCGCGCTCGTCGACATCATCCCACCTTCCGCGCGCGGCAAGATCTCCTCCACATCCTCTTCCATCGCATCTTTCACCGGCTCCGCCTTAAGTTTCACTGGCAAGAGCCTCTGGGTGGTATCAACCAGCGTTCTGTTGTTGGGAATCCCATATGCTCTAGCTTTTGGTCAGGAGCAGGAGATCATGGAGCGGGAACGGGAAGAGGGATTGATGCGGGAGGGTGCCAGTTCGGTGAGTTCGCCCCACTGTCAGATTGTTATGCAGCTGTTTTCCAGCTTCAGATGTCGATTGTGAGGAATGGATGGACTGAGCTAAACATCTTGTCAGATGCTTCAAGCTGGCCAAGCGGGCGCGCCGGGAGTGACAGCACCGCAGGGTGGACAGGGAGGGAAACCTTCGCTGTAGGATTGGAAGGCTCTGTTGGAAGGAAGGTGAGAAAGAAAACGTCGATCGGGGCTCGACACCATGTATCATCGAACTGCAACGCCTGTCGTGGCCTAAACTTACCGGCTCATCATGGGGCTGCGTCCTGTGCATCTATAGGCGTATGTTCCGGACATATTGTAACTCTATTCACTTGTACTGGATCAACAGCTTTCTCCATCCCTCCAGCTTCTGCTTCTACCCCTCTGATTATACCAAGATCTCCCTCATTCGTGAAACCAACACATGCCATCAACCGAGTAGACCCCTCTCTTCCCTACCTAAGGCAGTCAGTTCTTCTTCTCCAAAGTCCGGCAAAGTCAATCCACTCCGGTCTTTCCTACGCTTTCCCATGCACATGCCTTTCGTTTCCCCTACAGGGAGACCATGGATGTGAGAGGCCAGGGCTACATAATCCTACGCAGTCGAGAAAGGAGATCGCAACGGCGAGAGCGAGAGAGTGAGAGAGAAAGAGAGCTCTCAAACTTACTTATGAACAGGACAATCGAAAATGACGACTCAGACGTGCACGGCCAAAACACCCAAAGAAGCACGATTTCGCCGAGTCCAAGAACGATCTGATCTCTTCAGCACCTGCGTGGTAAACGAGCGTGATGGTATCGCGTGTAGTCCAAGCCTGGATGGAAGGAAAGGTAGGAAGGTAGAGGGGGTTCAGAGCAATACTGGTGAATGGAAGACAAGGTCAGAGTCAGTCACAGTCATGGCGGAACGGATGAAGGGAAGATGAGAATGCTCAATTGGTTTGCAATCGCACTTTTGGCGTGGTGTGGAGATATAGGTACATAACTGGCGCGAACATTTCCAACGACTAGAGAAGTCGACCTCCAGCCTCAGCGGCAGCAACTAAAAATAACTAAAATAACACAATACAAAGCGCGCTTTGCCCCCCTCAGTCCTGTCTCCTGAGGTGACTAGGTAGGTTTGGGGCGCCAAAAAGCAACAAGCTGTCGGAAATACAGGTGATGAAAGAAAAACAACTGTTCTGATATCCAGCCGAAACGCATGAAGAAGGTCGTAAGACATCAGCCACCCATGTAACGAAGTACGCCTGGCCCTTTTTTTTTCTGGTTGTAGCCAAAAAAGTGGCATCTTGAAAAGGGAAAGAAGTAAGGAGGGAAGATATGCCGGGGTTTTAAAACAAAAAGGGGGAGCGGAAAAGCAGCCCCAAAAAGCTTCTTGGGAGCGGCGAGGAGGGCAACCATCATCATCTCGGGAGTCGGTCACTACCGATTGTACCGATCGTACCCATCATATCCATCATACCCATCATATCCATCATACCCATCATACCCATCATACCCATCATACCAACCATGCCCACTGGATCTCCTCCCCAACTTCACACCACTTCGCTCAAGGAACTCGCGATCATTCAAGTCCCTCTCCTTCCTCCGCACTGCCTCCTCACGCTCCCGAAGAGCACCCAAGCGCATATACTCCTCCGCCCTCCTTTCCCGTTCCCGGTCATCTCTCTCACGGTCCAGCACCTCATTGGGAAACAGGAGGCTGGGAAGTCGTCGACAGGGAGAGTAGCCGGAGTTGGAGATGGGTGTCAAGGTTGGGGAACGAGGTTCTAATTCCAAGCGTGGGGGCTGCACATATCGGATCTGTCGGCACCGTTCTCGTGACGAGTTGCGGCGGGCAGGACGTGCGACGATAGTCTCTACTTGGTGACGACCATCATTATTGTAGCGGCTCTCGCGTTGAGGGGCTCCGATGCGACGTAGTGGTTCAGTTGGGTAGCTTGGGCTACGGCGGTGTTCGCGGTAGGTCTTTTCTCCTTTCTTTACAGAATACTGACGGTGGGGCGCCAGGCTGCCGCGATGAGGAAACCTCTCGTGATCATCGCCATATGAGGTGTGAGAGCTGTGTTCGTCATCTTCGAAGAGGACGTAGTCATCGTCGCTTCCGCGGCTGCTATCGCCATACACCGACCTTTGCTTAGGATGGTGTCCGCCTTTTAGTGGTTCTTGCGTGATGACTGGTTGATTCGGCGGTTTTCCGGATCGAGCATCAGGTCCATGGAAGTTGTTCCCGTGTGGATGCTGAACGTGTGGAGGTGGTGTATAAGGGCGCATGTTGCCTTGTCCATGTGATGGGAGATTGTGAACAGGGAACACGCCGTTCGCACCATTCTCTGGTGCAAATGACTCGTCCAGTATTTGGATGTTATGGGGTGGTTTCGACGCTGGCGTAGGGGCGGAAAAGGGGTCGCCATAAATAGGATTCGCTGTAGGACCTGTAGGTTGAGAAGGACCTACGTGCTGAGCTCGGGGAGGCCCACCTGGTTGTCCCGTGCCCTGATCGAAGGGAAGATGTTGGGGTAGCTGTGGTGGAAGATGTTGTGGTAGCTGTGATGGAAGCTGCCCCGGCAAATATTCAGGAATTGGCCCATTCTTATCCATCGGTCTACCATCGTCGTTGAACAATTTGACTCTATCAAATGGATCTTCACGGTCTTCCTTGCCGCTCTTGGCCTCTTTGCCGGCCGGGGAAGGCTTATCCATACTCTTTTCCTTGGGCTTTCCCTCAGGCATCAGGGGTTCGTTGATGTCTGACCTTTTTCCGACGAAGAACTTAGCCTTTCTCTCGTCAGGTAGGATATGCTGAGCGATGATGACGTCCATTTTCAGATGCTCCCGAATTGTTTTACCATTTACCGTCCTGTCCCTTGGGTTGGGAGAGTTGATAAGAACGCATTGCCACTCACAGCATCACCATGCTCGTTGGCAAGATTCTTCTCAGTTAGAAGCCGGTGAATCTGAGCTCGACGGTCTGGGCTCATGTTCTTCATGGCTTCCAGCACCGAATGGCTCTTCTTGCCCTTGGCGACTTTTCGCTCTAACTCCTCTTGCGGCGCAATGATCTCGACCTTATCTGCAACCTTCCAATTCTCTGTCCTCGTAAAGACGTAGTACTTATAGCGCATTGGTGTGGCCCTAGTATGGGCGGGTGAAACCTTTCGCCTGGATTGGAGAGTTCGAAAATTGACATCCTTTTCCCTTTTGTCGTTTACTCCGAGCTTGGCGAAGTTATCCCGGACATCCTCGGAGTGTGGAGGAAATTGAGCGTAATCGGCCATTGTAAGGTCAAAGGACCGGAAGCTGCTGGACTATACCAGCTACCAATAAACACTTAGATTTGCCAAACAATGTCCTAGAGGAATGACAACCAATTGAACCTCGTTCACAGGTGACTTAGATCGCGCGGAAAGGCAATCTTCAACGCGGCGCAGCAGAGAGTATAAATGAGAAGGTCAAGGTCAAGGTCAAGGTCGAGGTCTGGATAGGGATGATATAAGAACGCCCGAGTGAGGCTTCAACTGGATTTAAGCGATAAGAGGAAAAGCTTAAAAAAGTACGGAGTAGCGAAATGTACGGTCAATAGTGATTGATCAGCATTGAGAAAAGCGGTTGCCTTGAATCATCCGGGAACTTTTTTCTGTTGCCTTATGATAGCCTGACGATAAGTTACGCATTATATCAACGGCGGCAGTGGAGCAGGGCGCTCTGACCAGGATCTGCTGCATGAGGCTGTGCGGGGATCTTTTGGTGGGCTAAAGGTTGATTGGACGAGTGCTCAGCTGCTTACTATGCATGTCTCCATCGATACTGGGGGCTTAGACAAGAGGTGGTCGGTTCATGCAACAGCAGAAATGGGGCACCGTCTGTGAATGAAGCTCATCCCACCACGAAGCTCAAGATGTAGATGAGATGCAGAAGTATCACAATCTAGCATTGGCGAATCAGGCGGAGCAGAGATGAGCAGCATTGCGATGTGGATGAAAGGCTGCGCGGTGCTGTGCGGTGCTGCGCGGTGCTGTGTTCTACAGTAGTGTATTGTGGTGGCGGTGCAAGATGGGTAAGGTGGAATTAGAGTCAGCCCAGTTAACTACCTGCGGTCAGTGTCACGTTCACGCTCACGCTCACTCATACTCACTTCGGGTTCCTCAAGCCACTGCACTGCAAGACCCCACAAGAACGTAGTGAATCAATTAGTAGTAGTGCTCCGTACTACTACTACTTACTTACGTAGTACTCGAGTCATCTACTACTACGTAGTAGTAGTAGTAGCAGGATTCTTTCTTGGCAGCATTTCATGGCCTCCATACTTTTGTGGTAACCTAAACTGAATCGTGATGGGCTTCTTGCTGGATACACCGTAGCAGATCTCGCCAAATTTATCACACCGAGGGTCGAATTGGCCTGACTGGCCGGAAAGTCAAACCAGCAAGTCGGAACTGGCAAGTCTTTTCGGTGTAGTGGAGTTGGAAGAGCTCCCACCTCGCATGCAAATGCATGATCAGAGAAATCGAGGCATCAGACTCTTTCGCCTAATACGGTGTACGTATTTCAGTACCCGGCATAAGTATTCGTAGCACGGCGTTACTAGTAGTGTCTTTGCAGCAAAGCAGACTCCAAACGAGGCACCTAAGCCTTGAACAGTTGAGCGGTAGTTACTGATGGGCTAATCGATATGAACAATCGTCTACATACCCACGTAGTCTAGACACAGATGTGGCGCGGTATCCGACATGACCATTGGCAAGAGTCAATTTTCCCTGACACGATCTCATCGAATACAGTTTCAACTAGTTAGGGCAGTTGCTGCCACGCGACGTAGTACTTGATGAACAGTGGTGACCAAGCGCTCGATCGCATGCCTATGCTTAAAGCAGTCTTGCCCGTGAAGCGTGACGTGCAACAGGGTTTGAGGGCTTCGCCTAATGTAGCCTGACGTCCAAGGGGAACCAGTAAGACCCGAGCGCGGGATCCCTTTTCCACCTCTGCCGTGTCAGTCCATTATAGCATGCAGTTGTACTACGTACGCACCCCGGCGGTTCTCAATGATCGCCTCGAGAGTGGGGCGTTACAAGCTATTATTATGCATACCGCTGATCATGTCGGAGCCGTTCAAATTCTCTCGATAGAGCCTCATAATCCACCAAGGGAGTTGAAGAAAAATGACGGAGAAAGATGGCACGCAGAAAGGAGCGATTGCTCTCAAGCAACTCTGCCATCGTTGAATCAGCCGATAGATGGCATCTTGATCCTGTATTGGGATGCTATCGCTGAATGAGAGAAAGAGGAAGTGTGAATGGTTCCTGTCCACGTTCCTAAGTTGCTTCACTGAGAGAAGCAAAAATTGTAGGCATTCGCTTCACTTTTACCATACAGCAATCCTTGTCATAGTCCTCCTTTTAGAAGAGTGTTATTAGGGCGTTAGAGCAAGAACCAGCCCCCCATCGGTGCATAACGCGTCGTCCTGGATCTCCATCTATACATGGTACTCCCAGCAACAGCAATCTATGTAAAGTGGCCTGATCTGTCTGGAGAACACTTGGCTGCAGAATTTGTAGAACAAAACGCTCAATTGTAAGCGCACAGAGGTAGCACCAACCGATTTCACGCCACCTTTTGAAACGGTGCATCATAGTTCGTACAAAGCCTTGCCAGTTAGCTGGAAGGGTTCGGCTCGGGAGCTATCATGGCCTGTTCTAGCGATCTCGCTCGTATTATACAGACAGAAAGATCCGGCTAGGTTCACCGTAACGGCACTTTGACATCTTGGACACCGCGTTTCACAACGTCTTCAAAACGCCACCTGGGCGTAGACACGAGTGCCTTGACAGACTTGTCATGCTTTTGCAGACGTCTGCGGCTCTGTTCCATTTCCCATGTCACTCCATGCTCTAGCGGCGGCGCCCCACCTGCAATGCCGCTGGCGAACTTGAGTTGTAGTACGTTCCCAATCTCGTCACAAGCGGAGAGAAAGCGATCCAGATCATCCTTGTTGTGGGCAGCGGACACACAAAATCTTGCCCGCGACGAGATCAGCGGTGTAGCTGGATAGCCCACCACAACAACCGATATCTTTCTTTTGAGCATCTCGTGTGAAAAGGCCGGCATTTTAGCCGGGTTGTATAGTAGAAGAGGGATGATGGGAGAGTCGTCATGCCCATATATAATAAAGCCGAGACGCTTCAGCCCTAATCGCAAATAGCGTGAATTGAAAGCAAGTCTTTGCAATCGTTCCTCGCCTTGACCTGGAACGATCTCTCCACTGATTATCCGAAGAGCGCTGTTGATTTGAGAGAGCACGGCAGGCGAAGGTGATTCTCCATAGATGGTCCCCGCATTGGTGACCCGAAGCTTGTCAATGATGGCCTTGTCTGCTGCAATGTACCCACCATTGGCTCCAAAAGACTTGGTCAAAGTGCCCATCAAGATGTCGACTTCCTTGGTGTCAATCCCAAAGTATTCACATACACCTCTACCCTTAGGTCCCAGGGCACCGATTGAGTGAGCCTCGTCGACGAACAGATTGAACTTGTACCTCTTCTTGAGTCGGACCAAACCTGGCAGATTACACATCGTGCCTTCCATGGAATACAGACCCTCAACCACCACCAAGATCTTTTTCCATGGCCTGTGTGTACGTGGCTGACCTTGCGAGATGACATCGCGCAGCTTCGCTTCCAGATCTCTCATATCGTTGTGTTTAAAGGACTCAATCATGGCGCCCGACAGGCGTGATCCGAAACGAATAGAGGCGTGATTTAGCTCATCAGAGATGATCAAATCTCCCTTGCCCACCAGTGCGGGAAAACCAGCCGCGTTGGTACCAAACCCCATAGAAAAAACCATTGCAGATTCTTTGCCAACGAATTCCGCCACTAAGCTTTCACATTCAACTGCAATATCAGAAGTGCCCACGTCACCCCTAGGACTAGCCATACTCAAGCCATATCTCTTTACATTCTCTTCTACCGAATCTGCGCATGGACCTTCAGATTGTGCAAAGCCAAGATAGTTGTACGAGCTCATATTCAGTGTCTCGGTCGTTGTCCCCGTGAATTGGAAGTGATAATTGCCATCGTCCGTGGTCCGATCGAGTAGATTGATATATCTGCCTGGGACACCCGTAACTGGCCGATTGAAGCAGTCATTGATGCGCATTTTCAGTCGCCGCACGTAGAAGTTGTCAAAATCACTATTGAGTGCAGCGTATCCGTTTCTTGATTTGAGGTGACGGTAATTCTCTTCTCTGAATCGCATACCAAAGAAGTCGCGAACATGCCCGAATATGATGAGGATGAGGTAGGAAATATAGGTGGTGAGGAGGTAATAGTAGGGCGGCTCATCCATGATCGGTTCAGGGAACTCGCCTCCCTGATGCCGACTTGTGTATCGGTGAGACTGGGAGTTGAGAGGTGCAAACTGTGCATGTTGCTTGGCCAAGCGCCTTGCCTCGCCGGGAGAAGGGGGTTGAAAGAGTGTGGTAGGCGGCGCATCCATGTTGATGCAATCCGCCGTCGCCGTGGAAAGGGAAATAGTCGGTAATGACAGTGATGGGTTGCTAATTGGAGGTGTTGTTGAATTGAGGAATAGCTGCTCCTGCGCCCTGCTCGCTGCAAGCAATGCTGCCGCAGCAGATTGTGCTTCTGCTTTTGACTTAGGTGTAGCAGAGAAGAATTGTGCTATTCTGCTAGGTTTCCCAGAGCCTGATTTGAACAGACCGCCGCCCTTCTCTGCTGGAGGTGAGAGAAGGACGGCCAGGGAATTGACGGCGAGTTGTTGGGGAACGGGTTCGAGGGTCGACGAGGCATGGCCAGAAGAGCTTCGAAGGAATGATGCCAATATAGAGAAGTACTGTATGTATCGGGGAGGCCTATTAGAGGACTGCGAAATCACAGAAGAGCCGGTCAATTCGATCCTCCTCGAAGTGGTGACAACAGCTGCAAACGTCCGTAGGTGCGGTCGTGTAGTCTAGGTTGCGTTGTTTAAACACGAGTACACGAGTACCTTGTATATGTCGCAAGAAGTTAGCGGTGCGAAACGTCAAGATGCTTGCCACCGATGCGTTGAAAAAAGACACTGAAAGAATAGAAATATGGGGAACATGACAAACAAACAATTCTCAATGATCTTCTAGGCAGACCCGCGAGTCCCGAGTCCCGGTGAGCTTAATAATGATTGGTGGACCCCTTATAGCCTACCCAGTCCGCCGGGCAAGCCGGAACGACCTCGCACTCGCTATTCAGCTGCTCAATGGTGAAGTGGTGAAGCTGCGGTAAGAGGATGAAAGAAAATGCACAAGACCAAGCAGTTCTTCTTCTTTTGGTGGGAACCAACGATCAAGTAGGTGGGTTTAATATGGACTAGTCACGCATATGTTGGATGCGAAATTAACAATCCAATTTCTTTCAAGGGGGGAGACCCAGCCCCAGCAGTAGCAAAAGCTGACTTACGCGGTAGTAGTCTAAGTGCCGGGGCGCTGCCTCTTCCGGTTTAGCCCCGCCCGATCCGGCAAAGCGGCCCCTCGCCGCTTGGCCCCGCTATAAGGAGCCTGCTGCTCCTCGATCTCTCTCAGGGTCTGGTCCTTCCTGTCTTGTACTCCTTCCTCTCCTCTCGTTACCCCCCCCAGCTGGCCTTTCCTTTCTGGATCGTCACGCCGCTACTTCCGAGCACCGTATTATCATAACGCCAGGCTGCTAACCGGCTCCCTGTCTTTTAACTGACCCTCCCTTTCTATTTTTGTGCTCTTATTTGACACTCCCCCTGCCGGTTACACAGAGCAGTAGCAATGTTCAACGGATATCTCTTCGTGTAGCAATTTTCCTGGACGAGGGACCTTTGGAGACGTGTTTTGGGCCGTTTTCTTATATGCGGTGACAGCGACCAGCTTTCAAATCGAGAAGCTATACTATAATTCCGTCTGGCAGTTCACGTCTACGAAACTAGATTTAGTGAACAGCATTCACTTTTATGAGTCCCATCCGATTGACAAGATATCTTTCCGATTGGCAAGACTTTATAGACGTCGACTTCATGAAACGTATGATAGACTAGTAATACATTCTTATTGACTTGAAGCATATACAATAACGTGTATAGCGTTCTGCACATGAGTCCTCACAGTGGTTTCGGCGGGTCCAAAGCTGTGGGACGTGGTTTGGTTAGTCATAAGTCCCATGATTAGAGATAATTTCAATACTCATTGATTCATGTCGAGTCCTTCTCTTCTCTTAGACAGGGGTCAGGAGGAATTGGCGATTTTTGATAGAAGCACTCGGTTCCAAGGACGGTCTAACGTCAGAATATCGAGCAAAATACAAAGTCAAGAAAATGTCGCTAATATCCTAGGTTAAGTAGGCTCTTCTGTATCTAAATGGACATGGTTGCTCGAATATGTCAGCCATACCGTTGCTCTCGCTCATGTCAAATGCTCCCAGTTGATATGTGTATCTGTAAGTTCTCCATCCTGGATTAGCAAGCGTGCTGTCACCTACAATGTTATGTCTTGAGGGAAGATGTCCAGTAAGTAACAATAAAAGCGGATCTTAGTACTATCCGTGTACAAAGTACTTAGAATTATTCATTGAATCCCACAAGGTATGGATTTCTAGGAATAGGCCTGACATATTATGTATATTACGAGCGAGAAAAATACTTGCATCTTCGCTTGTTAAGCCCACTAAGACTCAATTGAGTAGACGACTCCCTCCCTCGTGTCCCGCCTCATGCCACTCCCATAACTCCCGTTCTTCATAACCCAATACAACATCCTACTATTATAACATACTTCTCTTGTGTTTTATCTAGACCTTCGATGTCCGTGATCGTCTGTTTCCCTTGCCTTCAGATCTCTCACAGCCCTCTCCTCTTCCAGCATGATCAGGACATCTGCATGACCTCTATTTGCTGCCAGACTCTCCGGCGTATCTCCGTCTACATCAATATTGTCCAAGTCGGCGCCATGATCTAGCAGCATACGGCAGATTTCAACGTGACCACCGTATGCGCACATGCTCAAAGCGGACCACTGCATCGTATCAGCAATTATGACCTCAAAGACAGGCAGGCGAACCTACACCCCATTGTTCCCGAGCATTCACATTCGCACCTGAGCTGATCAAACTACCAACTCTAGCGATATCTCCATCGCTGGCAGCCTCAACGATCGCTGTATCTTTCTTGAAGAGCCTGAACAGCACAGAAGACACGCTCGAGGCTTTTGTGACCTTGGTGTCAGTTTTGGTCAAGAGCGTAGAATTTTTCAAGCGAACTCGAGAAGAATGTTGCGACAACTGGTTTCCGAACTCCTCATTGGCAACAGTGATGGGACCAAGACTTCGTGTGTCAGATGTGTCGCCAGGAAAGCTTCCATACCCAGAGTCAACCGAGCCTTCCATTTCGGGTCGTCTTGAGTGATCCATCTCCTCTAGCATGCCATTTGAAATGGCTGTCTTTAGCCAATTGCTGATGTACTCATGATTCTCCTCCACGACCGAAGCAGATATTCCCACGTCCTCCAATTCTCGTCCCAGTAGATGCCATATATCTTCAGAGTCGATGTTCTCTGCAACGTCCGACGATGATATTACAGAGCCTTCACGGAGTCCAGCTCTGACTTCTTGAATGAATTTGTTAAGTCGCATCTCGATTCGTGTAGTTGAAGAACTATATCTATTAGCCCACTCCTATTCCAAAGATGGGGGAAGGCAAATACTTGGCCAAACTGCAAGTGAACGCAGTAAGAAGGGTAGTGTTGGAAATGATCCTCGATCTCACGTCCGCCAATTCTTCCAAACCCCATTTCATACGATCCCAAGTTCTTTGTTGCTGCGTCCCCAAACTCTCATAGCTATTCAATAATTTCTCAAGCTCCACGAGAACATCCCTACATCCGTCAATCAGGATCTTAAGTCGAGCGCACCGCAACTGACTACGCCCGTGGGTCTCTTGGACGTATTCTTCGGTTTCCTTTATGACAACGTGGAGCGATGCGACCTCGCTAGAGACGCGCTTGAATTCGATGGAGGATTCTTTGCAGTTCTTGTAGAGCTTCCAGGCCAACGCTCCGAGGACAAAAAGGTCTCCAGCACTACAGCCGAAGCTCATCGTTGCTGTGTGATGTGGTTCGGTCACTCAAGAACATGTCTTGAAGTGGAAGTGGAGCAGTAGATAATGGCCATGCCATGGTGACAAGGTCACTACCCTCGCGGCTAACAGGATAGGATTGTGGTGCTGCAACCTCTGATAACACTTCCCTAATGTTCTTGCTGGGGCCTTATTGGCCTCGCTATTTAAAGGGGTGCACAACGAGCCAAGGCTTGGTTACTCAAGCGCTTGGCTTATTGAGTGATATCCGATTGGCCACAGTCCCTTCATAGACTCCCGGACCGAGCCCGGGAGGGTTCGTGGCAAAGGCTTTCCGTCCCAGAAAAAGGAGACAAAACGACTGAACTATCAAAGCGCTTTTAGGAATTGAACCTAATTCATTTTTATCCCCTCACTGTCCCCACGTTGTATCGCTGTGGTTCGCAGTAATAAAGGGCCAAGTAGGTTGCAGGATTATAATGCGGTGTCACTTGATTGCATGTACGTCTCAGCTGGTTCAATCTCTTCAACGTACGTGGTAACATGTGCATCGCGATCTGTTCGGCTTCATCTGATTCTTTAGGAGAGCAGGATTATCAGTCTGATGCTAGTAACCGCTAGTTTATGTTACCATCCGCTGTGGTATAATTCGTTGATGAGAAGCTGGACTAGCACTATTTCAGCCGCCCCTTATTCTGACATAACCGAATCGTTTGGTCTGTTTCCCAACGTTGCCTAGCGCCCGGTAACTTACCGCGTTTCACGCTTCGCCAGACTCTACGATGTGGAGCGCTATGACTCTGAATCTCATTGGTGTGTTGTAGCTAACTAGAATCTACATAGTAAGATGCAAAAGTTCGGATGAATAGCTCTCTAGGCGCCAAGGCCCTACAACGACCAAAAAAGGATGAATACTCGAATGCATGTAAAGGTAACTCTCAATCAACCCTCTAGGCCTTTATAACTTTGTGCAACGGTTGCATCATTGCACCCTATCAGGTCACGTTGTATGTGAAGAAGAGCCATCATGGGAAGCCGGAAGATTTCTTTCAATCTTGCTGATGCCACGCCTCATATCTGCATTGTTGGTGCTGGGATATCTGGGTTACGATCTGCGGATATATTACTCCAACAGGGCTTTCAGGTGACAATGCTCGAGGGACGAGATAGGATTGGAGGAAGAGTGAGGCTATACTTCCACAGGACAGATGCTCTTGCAGAAAAGGCTGACTGCTTCTCTCAGATATGCCAGAGTGATAAATTGGGATACACTGTTGATATGTATGAAAAATTTATTGGATTGCGAGTCAATTGAGAACTAACGTGTGTCAAGTGGACCGAATTGGATCGCAAGCACCTCCCTTTCCGTTGCCCTTTCTCTCTCCTTTGTCCCTGTCTAACACTTGCTCTCGTAGCACGCCACAGGTAACAGACACCCAATCCGCGATCTAGCGATAGCAACAAACACACCTCTGCATCACTGGAACAGTAAGCAAAACATCTATACATCTTCTGGAGAACTTCTCTTAGATGAGAAGGCTTCTGAACTGTCAACATTGCTCTGGGATATCATAGAAGAAGCATTTGAATACAGTAAGAAAAATGAAAAGTCAATACCGGAATGCGCAAGTCTGTATGACTACGTTGCAGTCAGGGTGAAGGAGAAGCTTCCAGGCCAGGTTGGGGATCAGAAGCTGATATTGAGCATGAGTGAGATGTGGGGTGCCTATGTGGGGCATCCTATCACAAGGCAGAGCCTGAGATTTGCTTGGATGGAAGAGTGTTGTGGTGGAGGTAAGTCAAACAGATAATGGGAATTGGTGGGAACTGATTCCTCCAGAGGAGCTTTTCATTGAAACGACATACAAGGCCATCTTGGACAGAATTGCCGAGTTGCCTCTTGAGAAAGCAGACATTCGACTTGAAGAGAGGGTGGTCAAAGTCCAAACACCAAGAGATCGAGATGCCGGTAAAATATCCGTAACAACAGAGAAGGGAGAGCACCTCTTATTCGATGAGGTCTTGATGACAACACCACTTGGGTGGCTGAAGCAGCACAAAGATGTAGCCTTCGCACCGCCTTTGCCACCGAGGATATGCTCTGCAATCGACGCCATCTCCGTCGGCCACCTCGAAAAAGTCGGGAAAACTTCCACTCATTCTCCTCACAAACTAACATCTTCAGGTGTACATCACTTTTCCTCTTGCATTTTGGACTGACGATCAAGCCGATGATTTCGCGGGATACACCAACTGGCTCTCACCCGAATACGCACCAGAAACGAACCCCCGCTGCTGGCCGCAAGAAATCTGGAACCTGGCATCATTCTCGCCCGAAAATCGACGCCCAACAATCCTCTTCTACCTATACGGTGAGTGCTCAAACTACATCATCAACTTGGTACATGGGAAATGTTCGGAAGAGCACTATTCTCTGCTTGATGCCTTTTTCCGTCCCTACTATTCCCTGCTGCCCAACTTCTCGTCCTATGATGAAAACTGTAAACCCAAGGCGATATTGAGCACTGAGTGGCAGAAGGATGAGATGAGTGGATATGGCAGCTATTGTAATTTCCAGGTGGGGATGAAGGAAGCGGATGAGGACGTGAAGGCTATTAGGAAAGGGTGCCCTGAGAGGAGATTGTGGTTTGCTGGGGAGCACACTGCGCCTTTCGAGGAATTGGGGACGGCTGTGGGGGCGTATATGAGTGGAGAGGCTTTGGCCCAGAGGATGTTAGAAATGTATCTGACAAGATGAATCGGGTTATCGGGATAAGCATTCAGTCTGCAAAATATTGTTGATCAAGATTGTACATTCTCCCCAGCTATTGTGCGGTTTGCGCCACAGTGTGCATGTGTTATGATGGAGTTGGTATCAGGTCACGTTATATGAGAGTGAACCTTGATAGATATGGAGAACCTGATGACAAAAATGGCTTCACTCCCATAGATGTATTAATATATACAGTGAAACAGAGCTGGATTGTAATAGTACACGCAGGACTTGAGGCCTGGAATGGGATTGAATCCCATATGTTGGGGAGTCCATAAGCTGCAGAGCGGGCTGACAGTTTCAATTTTGGGGACAGGGCTCGGTCGCTTGCTACGGGGGTCCATGAAGTATTAGCCTCAAACTAACTAGCTGTAAGCGTTTACTTTGGACGCACGACTCCATAAAGTTAGTGAAATTAGACTAGGTGACAAGAAAGGCAGTAGCACGTCACATAACCCATGGTGCAACAGACGCCTAAAACAGCGTTAAAAGCTGCCTAAAACTGCCTAAAACAGCGTCCTTTGTCCCGGAAGCTAGAGTTGAGAGGTAGTTAAGAGCACAACTGCATGTTCGGCATCGGAGCAAAGATCAGCCGCAAGTCGGCCAGACAATATCCCAAGAGAATTCATAGGCCTAGGGACTCTGGGATCCAAAAAAGCTGAAGTTGCCCATCTCCACATCGTCATTAGTATTACTCCGTATTGTCGCAGCATGTCGGGCGACTTGTGGATTCATGCGGCTACATCGGAGTCCGCAAGATGAGTCAGCAGCTCTTTAAATAGGACATCGAGGATAGCATTCTGGTAACGAAGCTGTGCGACAATTCATGACCCTGGATTCGCAACTATCAGATCTGGGTATGGAGACCCCGTGCTTCCTTGAGAGCAGGGAGTTGTGGCGGCACTCACATCCCGAGCAGACCCAGATATATGCGTTCCAACAACACATCGAGAAGAAATATGGCCTCTCCTTTTGTAGATACAAGGATTTCCACCAATGGAGTGTGTCAAACCCAGCGTCGTTCTGGGAGGAGGTGTTGCACTGGACTGGTGTTAAACTGAATGAGCCATACTCGTCCATTTTCGAACCTTCAGCGCCGATGTTTCCTCGACCTCAGTTCTTCCCTGGCTGTACGATGAACTTTGCGGAAAACTTGTTGTATCCTTCTACGAACCCTGATCCGGAGTCTATGGCGGTAATTGGTGCCACCGAGACGACTAGAGAGTATGTTTCATGGGCCTCACTTCGAGAACGAGTACGTCAGTGTGCCAATGCGATGCGTGCCCATGGGCTCTGCAAAGGAGACCGTGTGGCATGTTATCTTGCAAATCACGCGAATGCGCTGATAGTCATGCTTGCTGCGACGTCGATAGGTGCCATCTGGACAGGAATCTCCTCGGACTCGGGTGTCAGTGCGGTTCTTGATAGGTTGGTTCAGATCGAGCCCATCCTCCTCTTCGCCGACAACGCTGTACAGTATAACGCGAAGACGCATGAGACCCAAGGGAAGATTTCTCAGATTGTCCCATCTTTACCTAGTCTCAGAGCTGTCATCATCTTCAACACCGTCCCCTCTTGTCCCTTCGATCTCGGCTCCACTGTGAAGGGTCCATCCCCTGTCACCATACCATATGGTACTTTTCTTTCAAGCCCTTTGTCAAACGCGCCCATGGAATTCGTACCCCTACCACCAGACCACCCTATTTACATATTGTACTCATCGGGTACGACGGGGTCTCCAAAACCAATCGTCCATTCGTCCCTTGGTGTCCTGCTTCAGCATAAGAAGGAGCATGCCCTACACTGCAACATAGGCGTGGGAGACAGGTCATTCTATTACACAACGATTACCTGGATGATGGCTCATTGGCTGTATTCGGCCCTGAGCCTCGGATCAACTGTGATATTGTATGACGGTTCCCCTTTCCAGCCACATGGCCAGATGAGTTTGCCACTATTGATCGATGAGCTAAAGATCAATCATTTTGGAACTTCCGCAAAATATCTTTCCGTCCTTGAACAGTCGAATCTCTTACCAAAGCAATCCATTCCACCTGCGCATCTTCCATCTCTCCGCTCCATCTTCTCCACAGGATCTCCCTTGGCCCCATCTACCTTCGAATATACATACCGAGCCTTTGGGCCAGACGTCCTTCTGGGCTCAATTACAGGCGGCACCGATATCCTCTCCCTCTTTGGCGCGCCAAATCCTCTTTTGCCCGTGCACGCGGGCGAGATTCAATGTATCGGCCTCGGCATGTCCGTCCGCTGCTACGACTCTACCACAGGCCGCGACATCACAGAGACTGGTGAACCAGGTGAGTTGATCTGTGACGTACCGTTTCCATGCCAGCCCTGTATGTTCTGGCCTCCTGGTCCAGAAGGAGAGAAGAAATACAGAAGCAGCTACTTTGACGCATTTGAGAAGGATGGTGGCCGGAAAGGGGAGCGGGTCTGGTGTCACGGTGATTTCGTCCGCTTCAACCCCACTACGGGCGGAATGTGGATGCTGGGCCGCAGTGATGGAGTGCTCAAGCCTGGTGGCGTCCGGTTCGGGTCATCCGAAATTTACAACATTATCTTGAAGTACTTCAGCGAAGAGGTCGAGGACTCGCTGTGTATTGGCAGAAGACGAGAGAAAGACAAAGATGAAACCGTGGTCCTATTTCTACAGATGGCAGAAGGAAAGCCATTCAATGATCAACTGGTTCAAAAGGTGAAAGATTATATTAGAAAGGACTTGAGTGGACGACATGTACCTGGCTTCATTGAGGAGACGCCAGCTATCCCAGTTACGGTAAACGGAAAGAAGGTTGAAGGAGCAGTGAAGCAGATTCTTTCTGGCATGAACATCAAGAACAGTGCAAGTGTGGCCAACAAGGAATGTCTGGAATTTTACAAAGAGTGGGCGGCGAAGCATGATTGAGAAGAGCATCTTGCGGTAAGGAAGTATAACTCTGGCTATGGTCATTTTATGTGTAGTCTAACTTAGTTTCCGGTGCGCTGCCTCTTCCGGTTTAGCCCTTCGGCCTTCCGGCCCCTTCCGGTCGGGGCTGGCGCCTCCTCGCCGCTTGGCGCGGGTATACGGGTAGTAATACAGAGCTCGCTGCTCCTCGTCTTCTCCATCGTCCCTTCTTCTCTGCCTTCTACTCCTTCTTTCGCCTCCCTCCCAGCTGGCCTCATCTTCTAGCTTGCTGCGCCGCCGCCTCTGAGCCCGGCAGCGCCAGGCGCTGACTGGTTTCCCGCCACCAACCGATCCTTCCCTTCTCACCTTCGTGCTCTCGTTTGACGCCTCCTCGCCCGGTAGATGCAACTATTGGCTTGAGCGTGGACGGCAATACAATACATACTCCGTTCTACTAGACTTGTTGGCTAGTTGTTCATACAGTGGCGCCCCAACTAACACCCTGTCCATAACATCTTATCGCTTCTTGGCTAACGCCTCCTTTGTTTGAGGTACTAACATCACCGTAACAGCATCCTGTATTGATTGACCTCTTCTTCTTCTTCTTAACAACTGTAACGTATTGACCCTCGGGACTAATGTAAGCTAGCTTCTCTCGATAGGGTTCGTTTTAGCGTAGTTTAACAATCTTTCGTGCATCACTCCGTACATAATAGCTATGTAGAAATGAAACAGAAGAAGGAGAAATCGGATAAATATCAACAGTAATTGTCAGAATCCCTGCGTATATGATACGTATCTGTTACGTATTAGCATGATGGTACAAGGGTCCCCGCATGCAAAACGCACGAAACGCTCTTGTAACTGTTACGCCCTGTTATTTATGGCAGTGAGCATTGCTATACGAATTGAACGCCAAATGCTGTTTCTGAGCTGTTACAGTAATGCGCTTCTATAGCTATTAGTATGAGCAAATGCTCCTCTTGATAGGAGTAACTCAATCAAGTGAATTGGCACTTCCGTACGCTGTTTGCTACGACTTCTAACAGTAATGGCCGCGGACCAATGAGAAACGAAAGCAAGCAACACTGCTGTCTAAGTTAGAACAGACAAGTGTGCCGAGAATACACGCTGCCACCGACTTACAGATACCGATAGTTATGCTTATAAATCAGCTACGCCCGGAGGCTCGTTACCTCGACCCGCTTATAGACCAGCGACGCATGGAGTCTAGTTATATTGACCCGACCTGAATGCCATCGAGCAGCCCCGCGACACCTATCCTGACTCTTAACGCAGTACAGTCGCCGCCGACATCCGTTCATCTCCCTCCCATGCCCATCATGGCACCCTTCGAAGCCGCCTACGAATCTGCAATAGACGCCGGCATACTCCCCGGTGTCGTCCTTCTCGCGGCTGATGTAACTGGTATGTTTGTCTAGCACGGATCCGTTTCCCAGGTCACAGCAGTCCGAATAAGCCCGCCTTGTACGTATGGATACAGAAAGTTTCACCTACACCAACGCCATGGGCGTGCAGTCCCTTGGTGTCGAAAATGCCAGCAAGCCCCTCGAGCCGGAAACCATTATGGCAATAGCCTCCTGCACTAAGCTGTTCACTGCTATTGCGGTCCTCCAATGCGTTGAGGACGGCCTCTTCACCCTCGACGAAGACGTCACCCGTTTGCTCCCTGAATTAGCCGCCATCCCCATCATCTCCAACCCCATCGATCCCACAACCAACCAATTTACCCTCAGACCAAGAGAGAACCCGATGACCGTCCGGTACCCGACCCCACAATGCACCCGCACTCTCAGTTGCTAATCTATATCCTGTGTATCATCACAGCCACCTTCTAACCCACTCCTCCGGCCTCGCTTACGAGCTATTCTCCCCGCTTCTCGTCGCATGGCGCACCTCCCGCAATGAAATCCCCAGTTCCGGCCCCACGGTCGAAACCCGCGCCAACCACCCTTTACTCTTCGAGCCCGGCACCGCTTGGATGTACGGCCTCGGCGCCGACTGGGCCGGCAAGCTCATCGAACGGACAACAGGCCTTTCCCTTGAAGACTACATGTCTTCACGCCTGTGGAGTTCTCTGGGCCTAACCGACGTGACGTTCTGGCCGCGCACGAAACCCGACATGGCCGGGCGGATTGCCGAGATGAGCACGTGGAACCAAGACGGGAAATGCGTGTCGCTGGGTGAGGACTTCGACCTCAACAACGGCCCGACGGACTGCCTAGGTGGCAGTGGGTCGTTTGGGTCGGCGCGGGATTTTTTCAAATTCATGCAAGCGGTTCTGCGACGGGATGAGAGGTTATTGAAGAAGTCCAAGTCGTGGGAGGAGTTGTTCCGGCCTCAGCTCACGCCGGAGAGTAAGGAGGCTCTGCAGAGATTGCTGGAGAGTAGTAAATGGTTTGATATCGAGCTGGGGGCCAATATTCCGCTCGATGGTGCCAAGAGTTGGAGCCTGGGCGGTTTGGTGTCATTGGATGGGTATGACGGGTGGTTCAGCAAGGGTACAATGCTTTGGTCAGGTCTGCCTAATCTCAGATGGGTGAGTTCGTGGATGGACCACGATATACGGGAATATGCCTTTGAACTGACGTGAGTACAGTTCATAGATCCGAAGGAGGGGCTGTGTGGGTTGGTGGCAACACAGCTGATTGCGCATGAGGCAAAAGCTATTAAAGAGCTGTCGGTTCAGTTTCAGAAGGGAGTTTATGAATTGTTTGCGCTTTCGAAGGTATAGGCCGAAATGGGAACGACATTATACGGATGCCATACCATGGGAAGAGTGGACAAGTAAATCGTTAGGTAGGGAGCTAGGAGCATGATATAAAAAAACAAAAGTGATTTCCAGTGTCCCAGGTGACATTTGACTTACTGCACATAGAAACAGCCATGCCTATTCCCATAACTTGTGAATCACATCAAGTCTCGGAGCGAATGGCCCTCAAGCAATCTTGGCCAGGTGGGTGGTCATCCTATTGAAATGAACTTCAACACTTTTGACGGCAGCAGGGCCTGCATTAGCCCCTACCCTGAGCAATTGAGGCCGACTGTTAAGGGCTTAAGGCCATATCAAATTATTAAAAACCCCAAAAGTTTTTCGGATGCCCTAACATAGGTGAACCCCTTATGTAAAGAGACCTCTTGTGCAAAGGATTTGGCTAGGCATTTTTGTACTCCGTATTCCCACCGCAGATACTCTGTACCTGTTTTGCATCCGTTAGAATGATGTTGTTGAACCGACACGTCACGATGTAACAATATTACGCACAAAGATACAGCGATTGGTGCCCTTTTTGATCGTGTCCCTGAACGCTTGAATGAACTTCAAGGACAGAACGAAATTCTTGTCAAGGGAATGGAGATGGACAGAGAGAGACGCACAAGTCACATGACCACAGGGTGCACAGGGTGTCAAAAGCGGCGGCAAAGACAGCCGAAAACAGCGTCCTATGTCCCGGAACCTAGAGCTGTGCAGTTAGTCTAGGTGCCAGTGCGCTGCCCCTTCGGGGTTAGACTCGCCCAATCGGGCAAACCCCCCCCCTTGGCCGCTTGGTCCGGGTATAAAACCCCGCCTGCTCCTTGATGTCCTCCATGGTTCTTTGGTTTACTATTTCCCCCTCTTCCTCCTCTCTCTCTTCCTTCTCAGATGGTCTCCCCTGCCTGTCTACCGCGCCACCGCCTCAGACTGCTCGATCAGCCTTCAATTTCACGAATATAAGGGGGCTCAATTTCAACCACGACATGGTCTCGCTTCACAGCTTCCCGGAATATCGATCGGTCATGTGGCACTTGCAAACCAGTAGAAAATCGAGTAATTAGCACAGGAGCAGAGACCCTCGAAAAGAGCACAGACCCTCGGAAAGAGCAGATCCTCTAAAGAACAACCGAGTCAAGAAGTCGGAGCCATTTGGGAAGAAGTCGTTGCATCTAAGGCAGATTCAATCGACCCGGGTGAAGCGCCAAATCATAGCCGGCTAGTACACCAGGCTCGCTTTATATGTAATTACATAATGCCGATAGTTACCCGTTCGAGGCGCCAAGAGCACCAACTAAAACACCGATATAGGTGCCGCTGTCGGCTCGTAACCTTCCCCGGCATCCCCTTTCCTCTTTCCCTCCCTCTCTCTCTTCCTCTCTCTATATATTTCTATCAACAATGTGCTTCTCTAATATCCACACTGTCACTACATCAGCGACACTGCGGGCTTCTAAGATTTTACTGATGTATTATTCCCATCTTAACTCTCAAAAAACTTGATTTTGGTAAGGTCTCAAGTTGAGGTACTCAGCAATGCTGCCAGGTGTGCCAGTTTTTAGACCTTTAACTGTCATGAATAAAGTTAACGAATCGCGCAATTTCCACAACGATGATGCCCACACATTACGCACCCGACATCCAGTACGATGGTCAATCCACCGTCGCCACAAGCGCAGCAATACCAAAGTGAACCGTTCTTAGAGACACAGTGACATTTTGCGCCTTTTAAGACAGGAACCTGTGTCGCTTGATAAGGACTGACGTTTCATACGTTCCATAGCTTTGATCCTGGTCAATATGTCCTTGAAAAGCGAAATCAGGTTTTCCTCCGACTTCCTCGAGGGTTCAAAGACTGACAGCCAGAGTTCACACGACTCAATATCAGAATACTCAACGGTCTTCCCAGCCTCCAAGTTGTCAAGGAGGAGCTCTAGCCGCCATTTCAGTCTTGCGAATTGACTGTCGGTGTTCCAGCCCTGGCGGTGTGAGCTAGTGACGACCTGTTCTTCAATTCCCGAAATTAGAGTCCTGGCTTCAGGTGTTCGAGCCAGGTCTTGCACACTTCCCTGCGCTTGCTCATGCGACAAATCCAGCATCGCATCTGTCATCTTTTTCAAGTCTATGGAATCCGATTGCTTGTTATCAGCCGCCGACGCCCGAGGCGATGCAGCTCGAGGAGTCATGCTGGCATTGGTAGCAGTCTCCCAGGTCATCTGAGACGGAGTCGCTGGCTCTGTTAGAGTGCAACCTAGCAGCTGCAGGAGGTATACTTACATGCTGTTGGGCTAGACGCTGGATCGAAACCAGGATAACGAATAGGGCACCGACTGATGTCCAATGGCGAGAGCGCCCTTTGCTTGTATTGAAAGCCATGCCGCTTGGGATTCTCGTGGAGCTTTCTGGCGGCGCTGCGCTTGACACGGCCGGGGGTGTTCTTGGTAACTTTCCATTTCTTTAAAGCGAACGTGTATTGCCGGGTACTCAAAAATGTCAGTAAAACGTCCTTCTGTGACAGAAATGTATTCTGACCTCGCCTCAAACCCGTGCGTTGCTCGGTAAGATAAAGCTCCAATATGAGAGGACGCATTTCATCCCAGACTTGAGGAGCGATCCTTTTCTTCCGGGAAGATTGTTCGGGATCGTACTCACGACATTCAGTCATGATGTCCAGAAAGTCTGTCGACTTGCACTCTAAGCCTTTCGGTTTAAGAATAAGGTAAAGATCAATTGGAGCAAAAGACGATGACAGAACAGCATAGTATAAGCCAATGAAAATATTCTTGGCTGCATGGGCGATGCACGATCTCAACCAATCGTCAAAATGACAATTCCCATATCGGGACTAGTTTCTTACCGGCTGCTTACCCCGGCCTGGCTCTGCGTAGCCCAGTGGCCGTTATCTTGTTCGGCTAGCCTTTGCGTGATGTTGAAAAGCAAGGACGGTGCGTTGGACAAGTGGAAAAGGCAATTGCAATTTTGAACTCGGGAGCCTGCTGGCCTCAAAAGGCGATCGAAATGCTGAGCGCACTATAAATATCGTTCCATTTGATGATGATTCTTCTCCACACCACCTATGTTGATAGTTCCTCCGGACCGGCTGCTACAATCAAGTTGCCTCCGACCTCATCAGTATGGCAAAAGCTTATAACAATGGGCAAGGCAAATGACGCTCCTCCCAGTGCAGCATAGTCAGCAAAGAATGGGAGTAGCGAAGACGGAAATCAGGTTACGTCCTTGCTGGCAATTGGTTCCTGGAACATATTCGATGTGACAAGATCTATCAACAAGAATTTGGAGAGTCTAGAGCGGAAAATATACATCGTCCAGAGCTAACAGATAGAAGAGGCGCTTCAGGAGGCCAGGAGTCATCGTGATGCCACTTAGACACAGAATAAACAGTTTCAAGCCGGTCCAAGGTATGCATGGTACCCCTGTTGCAGTTGTTGACGATGGTTTTGCAAGTCGCGTTTGTCCTTATGTTTTGTGTTAATATTCCCAAGTGTTGCTTCAGGACACTAAAACAAGCGATTGGAGCTTCATGGAGCCTTTGCAGGTGAGACGACGGTGTAGGTTTTGCGCCCTTACTCAGCAAAATTTGTGCCACCGTTAGGGCGCTATGACTTTGCTCAATCAATTGATCCTGATTAGCTCAATCTGAACCCGATCTAGCGAAGAGAAAGCAGTTGTGAACAGTGGCCGCATGGTCCTTGAAGTGCATAATACCTTGAAGAACCTTCTCAAAATGCGGGCGAGGACAAGGCATAGGCTCGTTTAGAGACAAAAATCGAAGATCTTAAACACTCGACATGCTCTCATGGTTTTTGGGGCCGGCTGAAGCAAAAAGGTTCGATCTATCCACCAAACCGCGGTAAAATGACGGTATTTTCTAATTGGTCCAATCTGGCACTAGCGGCCTTGGTGCCCGTAACCTTAAACCTAAATTTCCGTGGTAGCCGTGGCCCAATGGGTGGAGCCCTTAGAGGGCCCCACTTGCAGGGGGGTACCCCCCCTACAAGCCCGCGCGCAGCGCGTGGCTCTCACCATAACGCCCATATCAGCGTAACGCCCATCTTGATTTTCTTCCAAATAGGGTGTATTCTTCTGCGTATAGCTCCACCACAGTATGGCCGATTCGAATGAGGATATAGATGAGCGCGTAGAAAAGGCTGTACAAGAGATTCTTGCAGAACGCGAGGCAGGGGAGTTCCCTGTTGTTGCACAAATTAGATCGGAAGA